ACCCTAAACCCTAAACCCTAAACCCTCCGAACCAGTAACACCCTTCGCAGCGCACACCTCGCTAGCTGCTTAGCTAGCCGCGGCTAGGTACTTAGCTAGCCGCGGATAGCCGCACGGCCAGCTAGCCACGAGCTAGCTAGCTAGCTGGCTAGCCACGGCTAGCGAGCTCAGCTAGCTAGCTAGCCATGGCTAGCTGCGCAGCCAGCTAGCGAGCCATGGCTAGCCGCGCAGCTAGCTAGCCATGGCCAGCCGCATCGCCAGCCACAGCTGCTGCACAGCTAGCTAGCCACGCAAGCTGGGCAGCTAGCCACGGCCAAGTCCTCAGCAAGCCACACCCGGCAGAAGCTGCACAGGCCCTCGACCCAATTTTATTTTGAAGTCCGTGCAGCACTTAAAACCAGCCCTAGCTAGCTGGCTAGCTAGCTAGCTAGCTAGTTAGCCACCCAGCTGTCTAGCGGTCAACGGTACCCCCAGCTAGCCACCTCAGTCAGCTAGCTGGGCAGCTAGCCATTCCTTCATCAATCTAGATGCCCATACAATTGGCCCCCCAGCAGTTACTCAGCTAGCTAGCCGCCTCACTACCCAGCTAGCTAGCTGCCCCGGTACCCAGCTAGCTAGCTATCCTGCCACGTAGCTAGCCGGCTGTCCTGCTATCTAGCTAGCTAGCTACCCCGCTATCTAGCTAGCTAGCTGCCCTCTTGCCTGCGGACAGCCACTGTCTCAATGAGAAGCCAAGCTCTACCCCCCATGGCTAGCTAGCTAGCTGCCGTTCCTAGCTAGCCACCAACATAGCTAGCTACTAGCTTCCAACCTCCAGCTAGCCACCACCCTCAGCTAGCTAGCTAGGCACCAACAGTAGCTAGCTGGTTCGCCGCCACTACTAGCTAGCGAATTGGCCACCGCCACCCCCAGCAGCTAGCCATCCATATACCACCACCAGCCAGCTAGCCAGCTAGCTAGCTAGCTAGCTAGCTAGCTGCACTGGCTAGCTAGCCACCCACTACCAGCCAGCCAGCAGCTATTACAAGCTAGCTAGCCGCCTGGCTAGCCCGGCCGAACGGCAGACAAGTGATTTGGCCCCAGCTAGCTGTCGTCAGACTGCCCGCTGACTAGCTGAGCAGCTAGCTAGCTAGCTAGCTAGCCAGCCAGCTAGCTAGCTAGCTACCCAGCAAGCCAAACAAGAGTTGCTTACAAGTTCGGCGGCGCAGCAGACAGCAGCAGCAGGCGCTGCGCAGCAGGAGGGGAGACATAATACAAAGAGGGCCTCCCAGCCTGCTGCCCCCTCAGTGCTGCTGGTATTGCTGCTATTGCTGCTATTGCTGCTGTTGCTGCTGCTGCAGGAGCCACACAACCAGCTCCTCATCCCAACCTTCTAACTTAAACGCGTCAGATGCAGTGAGCTGCTGCTGCTGCTGCAGCAGCAGCAGCTACTGTTCCCCCAGTGGCCTTCGAGGGGCCCGCAATAAAACCCAAGACAAGCAGCAGCAAGAAACGCAGCAGCTGCTGCTGCACCAGCAGCAACTGCTGCAGCAACTGCTGCAGCAACAGCTGCAGCTGCTGCCTCCACTGCTACAAGACTGCTCACAGATGCTAGCCAGTTGGCTAGGTAGTAGGCCGCATGAACCCAAACTGAATTAGAGCAGCAGCAGGAGCAGCAGCAGCAGCCCCTGCTTCCGCTGCTGCTGGTGCGCCCGCTGCTGCTGCAGCGTCTGCTGCTGCTGCTTACGAATGACAAAACACAAACTTGCCACTGACACCAAATTCGCCGTGCTGCAGCAGCAGCTTCCCTCAAATAAATGCGGAGTCGCTGCTGCTGCGGTAGCTGCTGCTGCTGCTGCTGCACGCCGCTGCTGCTGGCGCGGGCTGCCGCTGTGGGGCCTAGCTACCCAATGCCTGTGTTCATGCCTGCTGCTGCAGCAAGAACAGCAGCAGCAAGGTTGGCTACGTGGGGCGGAGTGCATGCAGGATGCCTCTTTCCTGCTGCTGCTTCTCCCTGCTGCAGCTGCAGCTGCCGCTTCTCTGCCTGCAGCCTGCAGGCCACGGCCATTCTCCTCGCTGTGTCATTTCCGTAGATGTTGATGCTGAAGGTTCGTTTGCGGCGCTTCCTGCTGCTGCTGCTGCCGCTGCTGCTGCTGCTGCTGCTGCTGCTCTCCGCGGGCAGCGTCCACTGCGCACTCCAAGTGTTGTCTGAAGGATTAAAACAAACCCCAGGAACTTTTGCTGGCAGCGGCAGCTGCTTCTCTTCAACTTGCACCAGAATGTCATCAATAAGTGGCAAATAGGCCACTGCTGCTGCTGCTGCAGGCGTTGCTGCTGCGCCCCCGAAGGCCCCCCCCGCTGCAGCAGCAGCAGCAGCAGCGCCGCCCCCGCTGCTCCGCAGCGACACGTCCGATGCTGTCGGAGATATGCAGCCCAGGCCCCCGCTGCCGTTGCTGCCGCTGCGGCAGTAGGGGGGGCCTGCTGCTGCTGCTGAGCTCGCGCTGCTCACCGTCGACAGCGCGCCCCTGCTGCTGCAGTGCGGCAGCACTATGCGCTGCTGCTGCTGCTGCAGCAGCTGCTGCTGCTGCAGGTGCTGCAGCGTCGGCGTCGGACTCGGCTGCGGCGACAGCTGCCGGCTGCTGCTGCTCGGCCGCAGCTCCAGCAGGCTGCTCAGCGGCTCCGCAGAAAGCGCAGCAGCAGCAGCAGCAGCAGCAGCGGGCTGCAGCTCCAGCGCGTCCTCCTTGCAGGCCCCCTCGCTGCTGCTGGCCTGGTTCGCCAGCAGCAGCTGCTGCTGCAGCTCGTGCTGCTGCTGCAGGTGCTGCTGCAGTTCGTGCTGCAGCTCCTGCTGCAGCTCTTGCTGCTGCTGCTGCTGCTGCAGGTGCTGCTGCAGCTCTTGCTGCAGCTCCTGCTGCAGCTCCTGCTGCTGCTGCTGCTTCGCCGCGTCTTCCCCCAGAAGGCCCCCGAAGACGGGGGACACAATGCTGCTGCTGCTGCAGTCGGTGCTGAGGCCAGCCTTCTCGAGGAGGCGGAGCTGCTGCTGCTGCAGCTCCTCGTCCTGCTGCTGCTGCTGGTCCGTGAGCTGCCGCTGCAGCTGCTGCAGCACAGCTTCCGAAGCAATTTCGTCGCTGGGAGTCCGCCGCAAAAAGGCCGGAGGAGACCCTGCTGCTTCCTGCTGCAGCTGCTGCAGCCACAAACCTCCTGTCTCTGTGTCTCTCTCTTCTGCTGCTGCTGACAGTCTTGAAGAAAGAGCAGCAGATAAGGCCTCCATGCCAGCGCCTGGAGTTGCTTCTGCGGACTGCTGCCGCAGCTGCAGCAGCAGCACTTCGAGGCTGTTTTGGCGGCTCGTGCTGCTGCTGCTGCTGCTGCTGCTG